GCCAGAGCCAACCCGAGCTGAGGAGATGGATACAACATACGTCCCAGCAGAAAGGCCGAGATACTTGACCAAAAAAAAAATTCTCCCCACTCTGGAATTGAACATGGGTCTCCTGCGTGCGACAGCGAAGTGCCTAACCACTACACCACAGCCCCTGGTCACAGAGACATCAGTGTGAGCCGTGAGGCAGACAACTAACTCACCAACGCACCCTTCCTTCTTCCCTCCAAATAAATCAACATCCACCCAGCGTTCTAACATTTCAAATTATAATACACCGAAACGTGGCCAACCCCTCTGACGCTGCAAGAGAAGCTATACGGGCCGACAGATGAACTGAGCAGGACGGCCCAATTTATGACAGATACCAGACTTCAAGTGTGATGCGATCGAGAAGAAGAAGAAGATAATACACCGGACATTCTTTATTAAACAAAACTAAAAATCAAAATCAGATGGCAATGTGTAAGAAAAGAACACAAAAAATACATCATGTACTGATGAGGATTTGGGGGTTCGGGTGAGGTTGTGGAAATGTTTCACTTCGTAGTACAAATATCAAAGGGGGATGGGACACACACACTCACACCGACTCAAGTGTGCACCTTACCCCCCCCCAAAAAAAAAAGGCGTGTAGTGAAACAAAACATGCCTGCGATGAGAAGAACATAAAAAAAAGACATTGGCTTGCAACCAAGACACACCTTAAACAACATCTTTAAAAAAAAATAATTTTTTTTTAAAGGGAAAAAAATTTTTACGAAACGCATTCTCACTCAACATTTCCTTAATTACGCTGAACCATTCACATCCAGGCCACTAGCACAGACACACACGCGCCCAATGAATAAACACACACAAATCCCTCACCTCCCCCCCCTCTCCCAACAGCCATCCAGATAGGAGACGATACAGCAAGTCCCCTCAACAACCATCACACACACACACACACACACACACACACACACATACACACACACACTTTGAGCGGATCAGACCCGAACACAATTGAAGGGAAAAACTTGAACATCAGCTCACACTAGACATAACACACACACACACACACACACACACATGCATGCATGTCACCACACACAACATACATCATAAGAAATGATAACCACACACCTTTTTTTTTTGGTTCTTTTAGAGAGTTTTACAGCACTTGCAAACACAAAAAAAGTCCTATATAAGTGCTGAAGATGGGAGGTTGAGTTTCAGTAAGAGTTTTACGGCACTTGCAACACAATAAGGTCATATAAGTGCCAAAGATTAGAGGTGTTGTTACAAGAGAGTAACAAACACAAAAAAGGAGGAGAGATAAGAACGACAGATGCTTGATAGGAAAGAAGAAGCAAACCAGACCAGAGCACCCGCCCAAGACAGGAGGAGTAACGAGAAAGTAACACACAAAGAAAAGAAGGAGAAGAGATAAGGACAATAGATGTTTTTTAGTTTTAGTAGAGGTTTTACAGCGCTCGCAACTGCATAAGGTCATATGAGCGCCAGAAGATTAGAGCTGTTACAAGAGAGTAACAAACATAAAAAAGAAGGGGGAGATAAGGACGATAGATGTTTGATAGGAAAGAAGAGAAGTAAACCACACCAGAGCACCCACCGACCACCCACAATGGCTGTGAAAACACACCCAAGTGGAAGGGTTTCTGGCTACATTCAAGTTCAAGCATACCTTGTATATATATAGAGTTCTTTAGATCGGAACATTTTCTGGGCCCACATATCACAAATTCAAAAGTATTTAGAATATAATATAAAAAAATAATACACTCACACACACACACACACACACAAGAAATGTAAAACCAATTGACTCACCCCCTCACATACACATGTGCGTGCGTGCGTGCGCACACACACACACACACACACAAGAATCACAAGAAATGTAAAACCTGCTGACTTCACACACACACACACACACACACACATAAAGAAGGGAGAACCAAGCACAGAACCCACACATTCCACACAACAACTCTCTCATGGACAGTAGCCTCCTCTGATTAAACAAAACACTAGATACGGTAAGAATGAAGATTCACATTTTAAAGGTTAAAGCTTGTTTATGTACACACACACACTACAGCATCAACGACCACTATATATGCGTGGCGCTGAGGTGAAATCAGGCGCTCATCATCAAAATAATGAAATGGAAAAAAACAAACATTTTCCATCCATTTGGAAATTTTCATCAATTTTTTGGGTGGGGGGCTCTTCATCTTTTTCATGTCCATCTAAAAACACATTTTCATGTGTGCATTTCACTGAGAAACGTTGACAAAAAGAACCACCAAACAACAAAAAAATGTAAATTTTCAGTTTCCACGGACACTGCAGTTTTGGAAGTCACCAGACTTTGGTGGCCATTTTCTCATTAATTCTATCTCTAACACCAAGTAACACCCCACCTCTTTCAATTTTAAAAAAAACAACCCTCAACTTCTATTCATGATAGATGGTAATTTCTCCTTTAAAAGCAAGGCAAATTAACAAACTTTACGGTGACATCAATAACTCCGTATGTCCAAAAACTTGACACGCGCCTGATTCCACCGTGTTATGTCACACATATCGGTCTCGCGTCTGCCGCGTCTGAACACAAGACAAACAACACACAGACCCCAGGGGACTGAATCTTTTGCTTCAAAGGTTTCACTTTATCAAAACGATATCGCAAAGAAAAAAAAACGTTTTAAAAAGAGACAACAAAGGTGTATTCATTTCGCAAATATATATATTTTTTTTTTTTGCCACACTTCCCAAGCTGAAAGAAATGACCGAAAACTTGCTACAATTTCACGATCCGGAAAAATGCAAGCTTTGGGGAGAGTGGAAGAGAATACGATGTTACTGTTGGTGTGAAGTCTGTCCACTCTTGCGGGCTTCACATTGCGAAACAATCAACAAAGCACGTCCGATGATGGTATCGATGTTACAATAGCACAACAGTTTCGTTTTCTCTGTACTTGTTCACAAAAAATACATTCTTCCAGACACATAGCGTGACTTTAAACAATGTGCTCAAAGCACTACGACAATCTACCAAATATCAGGTAAGAAAGTACAGGATTCAAAGGCGAAGAACTTGGGATGCTTACCTGGAAAAGGACGGGATGGGAGGGGTGGGTGGGACGCTTTTCTGGAAAGGGACGGGGGGGGGGGGGGGGGGGGGGGGGTGAATCCCACCACAAAAGGCCAAGAAGATCTACAACCTCACAACCATTTGGTTCATCCCGACCTGGGACCATCAGTGTGGAACCATTTGCACCACAACTTTCGATCATTTAGGATACAGGCTTCCGACCATGCCCGTCAGAGCCAACCCGGGCTGAGAGGGATACAACGCCCCCGAGGAAAAACTGAGACACTCAATAAAACTCAGAATTTAAACCCGAGTCATCTGCGGGAGATGGCGAAGAGCCCAATCGTCACACATTAGATGCCAGCCGACTTTTCGTGACTGAATAAGCCAAAAGTATACCACTCTACCGCTCCACACCAGTTTAGTAGCAAATATCAGTACAACACTCGAACAAGCAGATGCCGACAAACTGGCAGACACCGAGTAAGTTGAAGGTGGCAAGAGCTGCAGCAATTCCGGTCACAAAAAAAAAAATACGAGTGCGTGTCTGCAGAAATGTCCCAAAACCTGGAAATGAAGATTCTTTAGCTAAGAGCAGTTGGTATTAGAGAATTCAATACTGAATCAACTGCTTCACGCGTCTGTTTCAACGGCTCCAGAAGTTTTTTCAGATACAGCGTATTTTGAGAGAGGGGCGAAAAAAAAAAAAAAGAAGAAAAATAATATTTCAGAAACAAAACTTTCAAGTTCCTTCACATTCATAAAAGTCTTAAACCAAAATAACTTTTATAAATCTAACGAAGCCAAAAACTGATAAAAATTCTTTCTATACGATCTTCACAAATGGTGGTGAAACTAATGTTTTTTGTTGTTACTTTTTATCGTAATCAACACTGCCAACTTTTGAGGTACATCTCCAGCCACACACGAGATGTGGCAAAGACCAACAGGAATATATATACAGAACACTGTGAGTTAAGAAAATGATTCCGAATTATACGCCCGTGCATAGAGATACAAATCTTTCTGCCCTCTCCTCTCTCTTCTCCTCACGATAAGAGGGAAGACTACAGGGAAAAAAGAGCAAACGAACATTTGGTCCGATAAACGACATACACAAGACTCTCTGCATAATGTGTGCAACATTTTTGAGGCAGCGTGGTGGAATCAGGCTCTCGTCAATTTTTGGGCATGTAGAGTTGTTGGTCTCATCTTAAAGTTTGTTCACTTGTCTTTATTTGGATGAAAAAAATATCCATTTATCTTGAATACAAGTCGAGATATTTGCGATTGAAGAAGGTGGGGGTCACCTGTTTTCAGAGGTGAGATTAGTGAGAAAATGGCCGCCAAAGATTAGTTATTTCCTTATCTTAATAGTACGTGGTAACTGAAAATTTACATTTTTTGTGCCTTTAATCAACGTTTTTCCGAAAAATCCACACAGAAATTAGTTCTTTAACTGGCATGAAAGGTGTCGAGCCAAAAGACAAAAATTGGATAAAAGTTCACAAACCTGTGGAAAAATGCAAGTTTCTTCACTTTGATTATTTTGACGAGAGCCTGATTCCACCACGCTGCCTCACATTTGTTCATCTGTTCCACTCTGCATCGCACATACAAGTCCAGCGTTTATCTTTTCGCCCCACAAATAAAGCCCCAACCCATCTGCCGCCCCCATACATGCACACAAGAACACACACACACACAAATACGACTGATGGTTCTAAGATTGCACAGATAAGCGTGCTCACAACTCCACCAAGAGCCACCACCAGTAACCACCCCACACACACACACACACACACACACAGCTCAAAAGTCTGAACTTCCCAAAACTCAAATGGCACAGAAAGAAAGACTCTTTTTGCAAAAAAATTTAAAATCCCCTCATATATTTAAACACTCTCTCTCACACACACACACACATGCATGCACACGAGACACACAAGGTTCAACAGCCACACAGCCCGGGCAGGCGATAAGACCCTGTGAGCAAAGAACCCGCCACCGCGGCTGAAGTTTCATGACATTGATACCTCCCCCCCCCCACCCATCCCAAACCATCCGTGGTCCGACTCCCGGCAGTGTGAGACCAGAGTCCCGCTCTCCACATTTCCATTTCACATCATGTTGGATGGCAGCTGGATGTTGAGGTCCCGGGCTACCTTCACCTGTCACAGGAGGGGGGGGAGGAGAAAGTTCAGTTTTAGTAGAGGGTTTTACGGCGCTCGCAACTGCATAAGGCCATATGAGCGCCAAGGGGTGGGTGTCAACAGAGAAGTCTTTACAGGGAATCAGACTTACTCTGCTCACCTCTCTAGCTTCAACAGCACAAAGTCTGCTTAGACTATCAAGGCACCCCGGAAATAGCGGGTCACAAGAGTGTGACAAACATACAAAAGAAGCAGAGGAAAATGACAATAGTAAGGATTAGGAAAGAAAAAGCAGCAGTTCCCAGTTGCAGATCAGGCACAGTTATGAGCATGACATGATGAATCAGCCCATTTACAATTCTACTATGCTTGAACGAGAAATGTGACCCCTTTGGGAATGGTGTAAAGACAGAACATTTTTCCTCGAGACTGATCAGTCAGCGTCTTTCAATTACACCAGAAGTTCAATATTAAAACATCCCATTATGTTGTTGTTGTTGTTTTCAAATCCGATCAGCTGCGAGCATTTCGCTCTTGGCAGCACAATGGCTCCCTCAAGAAACCACATGTCCTTGTCATCCGGTCAACGCCAGAGATCCCATTACGTCACAACTAACAACAACAAAATTACACAAAGTGGGATTCGTTATCGGCGAGTGTATGTGATAAGGCTCTCAACTTCGCGACTGCCAAATCCAGGACAGTCCCCGGGGAATTTGGGATGGTTGGCAAGCCTGGTTTAAGTATGAGTTTTACAGCACTTGCAATACAAACAGGTCATAAAAGTGCCAAAGATTAAAACTACCCTAGAGTAAATTATACAAAAAGACCTAGTCGTGGCCAACAGTAGATAAGATGCACTACCTCTCCCTTTCTCACAAACATTTCTCGTGTTTAATAGGTTTTTATATGTACTGTTGGCACCGCAAATCAAAGAATAAGTATTTTCCCATCCAAAAACAGACTGTCATACTCAAACTTTAAGAAAAAGAAAATCTAATACCTTCTTTTTTGTACTGGTTGGCACTTAAGTATACTTGCGCGCGCAACCCCCCCCCCCCCCCCCCACACCAGAAAGCAATGTTTTCTATATGAAAACAAACTGTTGTACTCAGACTAGGGCTGGGCAATGAGTCGCTTTAGCAAAATCCGGATAATATGTTAGTGCACCTCTTCGGCAAATAATAGAATATGAACCGCTTCGGCAAATAAAATTAAATTCCTGGTTCCCCCTTAAGGATTTTCCCCCCCCCCCCCCCCCCCCCCCGGTCAATTATGTCGTGTGGACATTGTGTAGCGTGGACTCACCTGCACTTCAGCAGCCTCCATGAGGGAGAACAGATGGGCCATTTCACTCTCAGAGTTGGACAGAGCTATGGCCTGCTTGAAGCTCTTCACCGCCTCCGACAAGTTGCCTCTGTGAAGACGGAAACCAGAGAGAGTTTGTTTGTTAGTCCAAGAGAGGAAAGAAAAGCATGCACAGACAATGAACAGTCTCGTTTTTTTGTTGTTTTTTTTTAAATAGTAGAGGATTTTACGGCGCTCGCAACTGCATAAGGTCATATGAGCGCCAAGGGGTGGGTGTCAACAGAGAAATCTTTACAGGGAATCAGACTTAGACTGCTCACCTCTCTAGCTTCAACAGCACGAGGTCTGCTTCGACTATCAAGGCACCCCAAAATAGCAGGTCACAAGAGAGTGACAAACATACAAAAGAAGTAGAGGAAAATGACAATAGTAAGGATTAAGAAAGAAAAAGTAGCAGTTCCCTGTTGAAGATCAGGCACAGTTATGAGCGTGACATGATTCAGCCCATTTACAATTCTACTGTGCTTGAACGAGAAATGTCCCCCCTTTGGGAATGGCCTAAAGACACTACAGTCAGTGGCACTCACCCGCGGGGTCTGAAATCTCTACATTAGACAACTAAAATACATTGATACACATGAGATATAAATTAATCTTTAAATATACATGAAATGAGATCTCTAACAACGATAAACACAACATATTTTTTTTTCATTTGAGTAGTTACAGAGGAAAAGACCCAACATGATGTGGGCGTTGGACGTGGCCGCTCACTCACCTCTGCACCTCGATGGTCCCCCGGATCTCAAAGGCATACTGGCAGGTGGGGTCGATTCTCAACGCCTCTTCCAGCAGCTTGAGGGTCTGGTCAACGTCCCCTTTCCACTGGAGGGTCATCAGACTGGACACACAAGGGGGAGTGGGGGTGGGGGGGGGGGGGGCGTCAATCAATGAACATGTTGGACAATTGTTCGTTTTATGTTTAGTAAGGGTTTTAGTTTCGTTATAGTAGAGGTTTTGTTTTAGTAAGGTTTTACTGCGCTCGCAACTGCATAAGGTCCTATGGGCGCCAGAAGATTAGAGGTGTTACAAGAGAGTGACAAACATAAAAAAGAAGAAGGGCAGACAAGGACGATAGATGTTTGATAGGAAAGAAGAAGCAAACCACACCAGAGCACCTGTCAACCACCCACTGGTAAGAGTTTTAAGTCACTTGCATCACAACAAGGTCATATTAATGCTGATAATTGGAGGTGTTACTTGTTAGTTTGCTTGTTTGTTTGAGAAACCAGAAGCACATCGACTCAGTAATGGTCATTTAGGGCAGGGAAAAAAAGTAAGCCACACA